TTTAAATTTTAAGAAAACTTAAAAAATTAAAATTTAGTACAGACAAAATTAAAATATTACATATATTTATAAAATATAAAATGAGGATTGTATCATTTAATTTTGAAGCTTCTACTAAATTTTGAAAGGCCAGGAAGATATTGGACAATTGAAGCTGCTTCGCAGTGAGATATCTAAATTTAACCCACCAATATAATATTATTACAAGAATATCAATAAATTTACTCATTTTTAAAATTCTAATCATTCATTTCTAGCCACAAACTATGCACTATCATATTTAATAAAAATTAATTTACCTTTATCCTCCAACCGATTCCATAGCTACTACGTACCAAACAAATTCATAATGGAATTGGGTACAACTTACTTTATATATCACCGACCTAAACACCTTTCACACCCGTGAAAAACTATAAAAACATATGATTCACTAAATTTACCAATTCCTCACAAAAGAAAACTATATATAACGATTAGAGATATTAAATCGAATATTATACTTATGTAAGTAATCTAAAACTTATATTTTAATAATTGTCAAATAAAAATGTTGATCTTATGAAAAATTAAAAACTTTCAAACCATCGAATTTAAATTAAAACTACTACTAACAAAATTTTTGACATTCATTCATTAAATTTTGACTATAATCTTCTTTCAGGTTTGGAACCCTGACGCAGAAGAATTCTGAAAAATAGTATTACAGTGAACTTCAGACTGAAGACGAATCCAAGAAGCTCAATAGGCTAGTTTCAAGTTCGATCAGACATGAAATCAGGTATAGCCACCAGCCTAGATAGAACGGGTGGGGGAAGAAAAACTAGGAGCGAGCCACATTCAAGAGGATTGTCAAAGGCCCTCTCAAGAGAGCAATTTTGTCATTGAATCGATGGAGGGAAGACTCCTTCGGTAGGTGCCCCTTTTTTTTTTCTTATTTCGGCTTTGATTGAAAATACTAGACAAGAAAGGAAAACTTTCCTGCCTTTCAAGCCTTACTAAGTAAAGGAGGGTGTGTTGTTGGCTGCTTTAACCCCACTTC